TCATATTACAACGATGAAAGGTCTAGTTCTAGGAAATCGCAATGTGCAAAACAATTATATGCTCAAGTTTTGTTCTACTATGGCGATCAGACACTCAATTTGACTTCATTTGTAGGTTGCACTAAGCAACTTATTCATCAACTTCCACAAGCTGTTGATGTTGAAATTATGACAGAACATTCCATGACAGAAATGTTACTCTCTTTACCTCCAACTGTGGAGGTGATGTTTCACAACAGGAGGAAAGTTGTTCAAACTATTACTGTAAACTAAATGTACAATAGCAATATTGAGCCTTCAACATCCCCCTTCCCCCATCTACAACCCCTGAGTAATGTGAATTTGTTGTTTTTGGGTGATCAAATTCCCAACGTATATTGATGGGTGCCACAAAATAGGTCTATTTTGTATGATCAATATGCCCACCAACCTCAATCACAGGACCATACTACTGCTTAAAAAGATTATTTTTCCTGGAATTATTGAGGTCCCTCTTCCTCATCGAGTCAAAGACATAGGCACAACTCTTTCCATTAAAATCTTCCAACTTAAAGTGATCTGCTGATTCTGTCATACTGAAATTGATGTTCCATGTTGAAATTCCTGATCTCATGGAAGACTAGATTCTCAACTGCCAAACAACATTGAACTACGGGTATGCCTGAGACGGAATATTGAAAGTTCAATTTGACTAACACATTACGATGTTGTTTAATGATGTTTAGTAGATACTATATTACAGTGTTGACAATATTATAATGGTAGTTGTGTATCATGTTACTGTTTAAACACTCAAAGAAGCTATCATTAGCTGTGTTCTACCCTCTCAAACCTAAGTCTTAAATCTGAATTTGTCAATTGTTCTCTGGACTTCACCCATTGTTGATGTACTAGTTCCAAATGGTTTTGTCACAAAATGCGATATACGCTTCTACTTTTGTCGAACTCAGTGATACATTGAGGTACATAATGATTAAGTTTTGTGGTATTTCACAAGACCTTCGTTGTTTTCCAGTGAAAAAGATCCACAGAACTAATCCCCTATCATTTTCAGTATATAAAATTTTTGATTTGTACCTAAAAGAAGCAGAAACTGAAGATAGCTAATAGTCTCAAAGCCATTACATAGTTTCAATTATGAAAACAGCTTTCATCATTCTAACGTCAAACCTTAAAACCGTGACATACTCCTTTAACACATGTTGTTGGCAAGCCGTACAACAATCTACATGTAACCCTGTAGTGATCCATGCCTGTGGGAGAAACTCAGAACATTCGTTTTCAAACTCTTGTTTTTTAGGAAAATTTACATGTTCGTGTCAATTGTATTTCCAGTTGCCCAGTGATCTCCGTTTAACAGTTTTAGTTTTTTTCAATTTCTCGCCCTGAATAGAACGTTTCCTCGAAGATTGAGATTTTTCACTCGATCGTTATGCACCGATCAACTCGAAACTTCAAGATCCACCCCCTCTCCCCACCCCCTCTCCACCCGAGCATTTGAGATCTTAAACGCCTCACCTAAAATACCAGCAGAGTTTTGGGGAGGAAGGGGAGGGGGGGGACGGGGTGTTGAAAGTTCGAAGCGCACTAGGGACCTCTGGTGGAGTTTGTTTTGATGCTTAAACACTTGGCCAGCGTGATCCTCTTCTGGGATGTGTAGATCACAAACCTTCCGAAAGCCGTTCGGAGGGTTTTGTGATCTGGAACACGCAGAAGGGTGTTTTTGACTATGAGCAATTACCACATCAATTGAGAAAACTTTTTCTTCCTTTGCGTTTCACATGGCACGTGCTGCACGTCACTCCTCGCGCAAACATGAATAAAAAACAGTTTTGGCCTCGGTCCGCATTTTTGTCAACAAAATAAACACATACTGCTTAAAAAGATGGTAATACGGACTACTTGTTGTTTATTCGACGGACACAGACTACGGACGAAAAATTGTGTAGCGTTGTGTTAGGAATTCTGAAGGTTGTCGGATTTAAAACGAAACATTCTATTACGTAATGCTTCAAGACCAAAGAAAGTTGCGAAGCGCACTAAAGTTCGCAAATTC